CCCCACAAATAACCCAGAGATGCATTTTAAAGAAAAGGACACATTCTACTCTTGTAAAAACACGCTGATTCCCGGACCGTCCGCGGGCTGGATTGAGAAGGCAATTGGGCCGCATCAGGCCCCTTGGCCTTAGGTTGTCTACCCCTGCTCTATAAGCTGTGTTTTGGGGTGAGGGAAATATGGATATAGGTAATGAGAAAAAAGTGTTGAAAGGAAGTGGGACCCACTGAGTGGTTTGAAAAGATGAGAAAAGTAGTAGATGTAGTGAAAGGAATACAAAGCGAAAGTTAGACTGGGTCCAAACTGCACACAGGACTTGTTGAGACAGTTAAGTCAGTGCATTGTTGGCAGGAGGAAGTGGCCAGGCAGTCTGAGGTTTCTGTATCTACAAAGCAGACAGTTCCAGGATTTTTGCAAGTTGTGGCTTCTGCTGTCACTGCAGTGTTGCTTCCTGGCAACACTAATTTTGAATTAAGCATCCAGTACTTTGCCTGAGAAATTCTAGCATGGAAGATGTAACTAAGAAAAATGTCATTTAGAACATCAGGTCCCAAATGAAAAAATAAATATTTTTTTTTTGCATATTTATAGATTGTGAGCTTGTGGCACTGACAGTGGCACTCCTATGGGGGGAAAATGTTTCTGTTTACTGAAGTCAAATTTTATACCACATTTTCCACAAAAAGTGACTAATCATCAATATTTTGAAAGACAAAACCAACAGATTGTCGGTCCATCAGACAGACACAGGATGGTAGATTATAATCAGAAATTTATACCAGGTAAATTAGAAGTTAAACAGCTAAATGAAATACTTGTTAGAATGAAAAAACATTGAGGAGTCCACAAAAATGTAATATGGAGGGCAGGCAGATCTATCGGGACAGTGAATTCAACAAACTGGGCCAAGCCATCTCTTGCATGCTGTTGCTAAATGTACCTCAGATTTGGGGTGTCAATAGAGCTACCCTGGTAAATCTTAAAAGACAGACACATCGTATGGCAGGAGACAGTCCTTGGGTATCCTGGCCCTAAATTGCTGTCTGTCTCTTGGAGCTGGCCATATACATTTTCATAGCTTCTATGACAGGGCATGGATGCTTACAATTTTGCTAGATTTGAAGTCCCAGGTTCCCATTAAAAGTGTGACAAATTATCTTCATGCACTAGTTGCAGAGAAGACTTGCTAATTGCAGTATATTTAAAAACATAAGTGAATAAATCTTTCTATGACAGCAGTATTCGTAAGTTGGAAAAACAAGTTGACAAAGAGATTCTGAAAAGGACTAACCCGTGAGATTTAGGTGTTTAGCCATTCACCACTGGAGCTCTAAATCACATTTTGACTAATAAGCTCCCTGACAAGTTGCTAACACCAACAGAAGATAAATGGCATTTTAAGCAGTAACTTTTCCTTGGTGATCTGAGCATGACTTTGTTTTATGAGTGGTGAAGCATTCTTGTGTTTGTTACATCCTTTGTATTCCTGTCTGCCATGTAACTAAAAGTTATTAAGCCAATGTTGATGCCACTGAATACATTTTTAAATTTTAAAAAATGAATTGTATCCTTTAGAAAAAATTATTATAAGGTGGTTTACAATACAGTGGTGCCTCGCAAGACGAAATTAATTCGTTCCGCAAGTTTTTTCTTCTTGCGAGTTTTTCGTCTTGCGATGCACGGTTTCCCATAGGAATGCATTGAAAATCAATTAATGCGTTCCTATGGAAACCGACTTCAGACCAGGTCCGGGGACAATCTGTCCCCCGACCTCTTCTGAAGGCTGGGGGGGGGCGAAAGTCTTTGCTCCCCCCCCCCACGGCAGCATTTTAAAATCGCCCCGGACAGCGGAGGACTTCTCCGCTGTCCGGGGCGATTTAAAAGCCCCTGGGAAGGCAGGCAGGGGGGACAAAGACTTTTGCCCCCGCCAGCCTTCAGAAGAGGTCCTTGTGAAGGCTGGCGGGGGGCAAAAGTCTTTGTCCCCCCTGTCTGCCTTCCCAGGGGCTTTTAAATCACCCCGGACAGCGGAGAAGTCCTCCGCTGTCCGGGGCGATTTTAAAATGCTGCCGTCCGGGGGAGCAAAGACTTTCGCCCCCCTGGGAAGGAAGGCAGGGGGGACAAAGACTTTTGCCCCCCGCCCGCCTTCAGAAGAGGTCCTGGACCTCTTCTGAAGGCTGGCGGGGGGCGAAAATCTTTGTCCCCCCCTGCCTGCCTGCCTGCCTTTAAAAGCCCTCTCCCGGGCTTTTTTCTCACTTAAAAGCCTTTAAAAGCCGCTCTCCCGGGAGGGCTTTTAAAGGCAGGCAGGCAGGGGGACAAAGACTTTTGCCCCCCGCCAGCCTTCAGAAGAGGTCCAGGACCTCTTCTGAAGGCTGGCGGGGGGCAAAAGTCTTTGTCCCCCCTGTCTGCCTTCCCAGGGGCTTTTAAATCACCCCGGACAGCGGAGAAGTCCTCCGCTGTCCGGGGCGATTTTAAAATGCTGCTGTCCCGGGGGAGCAGCTTGGACCTCTTCTGGACCTCTTCTGAAGGCGGGCGGGGGGCGAAAGTCTTTGCTCCCCCCCGCCTGCCTTCAAAAGCCGTCGGGGAGAGCGGAGCGTTCTCCGCTCTCCCGGGAAGGCAGGCAGGCGGGAGCAAAGTCTTTCGCCCCCCGCCCGCCTTTAGAAGAGGTCCAGGACCTCTTCTGAAGGCGGGCGGGGGGCGAAAGTCTTTGCTCCCCCCCCGCCTGCCTTCAAAAGCCGTCGGGGAGAGCGGAGCGTTCTCTGCTCTCCCGGGAAGGCAGGCAGGCGGGAGCAAAGTCTTTCGCCCCCCGCCCGCCTTCAGAAGAGGTCCAGGACCTCTTCTGAAGGCGGGCGAGGGGCGAAAGACTTTGCTCCCCCGGGACGGCAGCGTTTTAAAATCGCCCCGGACAGCGGAGAAGTCCCCCGCTGTCCCGGGGTTTTTTAAAAACCTCTCCGCCCCCCTGCCAGGCTTCGGAGCAGCCTTCCGAAGCCTGGCGGCGGGAGGAGGTCCGAGGACAGTGGGGAAGACGCGCTTCCCCGCTGTCCCGGAGATTTCCCTATGGGCTGTCGTCTTGCAAAGCAAGCCCATAGGGAAATTCATTTTGCGAAGCGCCTCCAAAACGGAAAACCCTTTCGTCTAGCGGGTTTTCCGTCTTGCGAGGCGTTCGTCTTGCGGGGTACCACTGTAATATGTAAATTAAACAAATTTCTGATGATATACCATTATGGCTTATCAGTGGCACACCCTGCCCACATTTTAATCACCTTTTCCCATCACTTGTAAACTTATCTTTCCCTTCATTCCTATAAACAGAGCCCTGTAGTGGAAGAGACCTTCAGGTACACAAAAACACTAAAAAATTTAGTCCAATATGTTTTGAACAGAAGTCTTTCTCAAAGGCACTCTTGAACAACCAGTTTCAATCTGGTGTCTGCATAGTATTGATAAAATTTTAGGTTTTCCTTCCCTCTTTATCCCTAGACTGGCACCCTGTCCATTACACTGTACTAACTAATGCAGTGTTTCCCAACCTTTTTTGGGCAAAGGCACACTTGTTTCATGAAAAAAATCTCGAGGCACACCACCATTACAGCCCCGTGACGTCAGCGCGCAGCGTCACGCCGGGAGGGACATGAATTGCTAGCAAATTACATAATCACCTCCTTGAGGGCTGGCTCATCTTCTCCGAAGGCAGAACCCCATTAATTAACAGCACAGACTCACACCATAGCCAAGACGAGGGGGGAAAACCTCAGTCATGCACAGTCATGCACATGTGGGGGCTAAATGAGGACGAAGACCGGGCAGAGAGCAGGGTTCAAATCACCCCACCTGGCCAGGACAATCCCTGGGTGCTCCCTTGGGCCACTCGCCTGACCCACCTCGCAGGGCTGTTGTTGCGAGGATAACACGGGGAGAACCACGCGCGCCCCCGGGAGCTCCTTGGAGGAGAAAGCGGGCGATGAATGCAATGCACGAAATATATGAGAGGCGACCAGGTTTTGCAGGTGAGGGGCCCCCGCCAGCCTCCGCTTCCAACACCCGGCGCAACGACGCCGAAGTTTCCCCCCGGGCTCGGCTCGGGGAGCAGCGCTGCTCCCCCCCGGCTCCCCTTCGCCCTCCCGGCTCTCTCTGCCGCCCACTGGGGACCCCCCTCACCTGCCAAGTCCGGAGCGCCGGTGGAAGTTGCATGCATGCATGCAGGGCGCCGCGTTGCCATTGCATTGCACTGCACTCCATGCAACGCCTGCACGCATGCATTGCCTTGCACGCCCGCCAAGGGGTCTCCCCGCGGTCCGATGCGTCCCCTCCGGCGCGGATGCAGCATTGCAAAAATAACCCCCCCCGACGCAGCCCTACCTGGGGGGCAGCCTCTGCCTCCGCCGCTCTGCCTCCGCGGGGATCCCCGGCCTCCATCCTGCCGCCCGATCTCTGCGGGGGCGCAGGCAGGCTGCGCGGGGTCTGCGCGGAAGAGCCCCTGCCCGCCCGGCCGCCACCGCTGCGCTCATTCCATGGCCGGGAGAAGAGCGCTTCAAACAAAACGCCCGGCCCGCCAGGCCACGCTGGGAAACGTAGTTCGCGCACCCCGCGCGGGCGCGGAGCCCAAGGGCGAGGGGACTACGGATCCCGGCAGCCCCCGCGCCGGGGACTGAGGGGGAGAGGCCGGGTGCAGGGATGGAGGGACGGGTGGGCGAGCGAGTGAGTGAGTGGCAGCCGCCAAGCCTTGGCCGAGAGCCAGGAAGGGCCTCCCCGGAGGAGGAGGAGGAGGGAGGCGCAGAGCGGGAGGGAGGGAGGGAACCCCAGGGGTCATCTAGTGACGGCGCCCCAATCGAAAATTTGACTTAAAAAAAAAAATCTTTCAATTTTTTAATTTTTCCCGCGGCACACCAGGCAACATCTCGCGGCACACTAGTGTGCCGCGGAACAGTGGTTGGGAAACACTGAACTAATGTACTACTCAAAATTCTGTTGCTGAATATAACATTTTATTTTATTCTTTTCAGGAATTAAATACTATCTACTACTTTCTTCATGGAATGGACATACTGTCTCATCTCAGGGAGCATCAGTTAAGGTAAGAGCAGCTGGGCTAATGCAAAAGTGATTTTGGCTATGCATTCAGGCTTGCAATACTTGACTGTTTTGAGGTAAAATTAATCTTTCTGATTTTGTAAGTAAGAAAGCATGTATGCTCTGTTTTCTGCATGGAACCTTTTGTATGATGCATTATGAAATATAGTCTGACATGTTGTTAAAGTAAAAGACTACAAATCGTAATGTGAAAATGATAATCACAATTTGTCCAGGGGTTCTAAATATTGTATTCATTCTTGGGGGATCTGGGTTTAAATCTCAGCACACCGAATTCTCTTAGCTTTAATTCCTCAATGATAAAGCAGGAATATTAATTTATTACCTCCTTGAGCACCTCCTTGCATAGAGGAGAACTGTATACAATTAATAGTGCACAATTATCCAAAATATGATAAGCATGCTTCATAATGATACTGAATTTCTTTTTCTCAGAATTATGACTTCCAGTGCACGTTACAAAAGGTACGATGGAAATCAAGTTTTGTTTTGGTAAGTGCACTTCACCATTACCTAAACTGAAAATTTAATGCCTCTAGGACAGTTCAACATTTATTTAATTTCCTTAACACAGCTCATAAAACACATTCTTGTGCAATAGTCCCATATTTTTGCTGTGTACTCTATATGGTTTTGGCGTAAGTCATATGAAAACATTTCAGTACATCACATGTGCAGAGTTAGGGCATGAGATTTCAAGAGATTGCAATTGGCTCAATGGAGCCCTGTCTTTTCCTCTCCATTTATCTCTGATCATGGATGTGTACACAGACAAAGCCATTAAAGGAAAAAGGAGGTGTGAGAGCACCTTGCGTTTCCACTCCACTCCTTTCTGCTTCATGCTTAGATAAAAGCAAGGTGGGTAGAAAGCTGTCTAGGGCTATGCTTCCTAGTAACACATACTTGCTAATAACACATATTGTGATGGGATGATGAGCAGCTTGTGCGTAAAATCCTAGTCCCTCAGAGTTTGGCCAAGTCCGCAAACCTCTGCCTACGACGGAGCCCCTCAAGCATGGCTCCGTCAGTCGCTAGCAGAATCCGAAAGTGGGCGCTTACGGAATCTCTTCCAGCATAAAAGCTCCTTAACGGAAACACGTCTTCTGGACTCTCGGCGCGACAGTTTCCGGCGAGGAGTGGGTGTCCCTATAGGAGGTCTTGAAACCTCCCCACTGTTTTCGCTGGAAGTGTCTCTGATCCATCCCTCCGACTCACTTTCCCTCGGAGCTCCCTCTCTCCCCCTGCTGGTTCCCTCTCCAGCTGCTAAGTCTCTCTCAACCTCAGTGAGCCCTTCCACCTCCTGTCCTTCCGATGGCAGTTCCCTGACACATATGTTCCCTTCTGCTTCTGGTGGTGGGGGGGGGGATGTGGTAGGGAAAAACAGGAGTGTACTGAGATTATGGAATTCTTCACACAGATGCTGTGCCTTCAGTCGACTGGACCATGTCCTATTTGATAGTCATTTAGTAAATTATAAATAGTAATACTCAACATTTATGTAGCACTTACAGGTTTACATATACAGTGGTACAGTTGGCCTTGGTGAAGATTTGACGTTTTCATCCCCAGAAAGTTTTTGATTTGAGTTTCCACTGAAATGAGGCTGCATTTTAATGTTGTACTTTAATCTTGTTTCTAAGTTGTATTTTAATCAATTGTTTTTATACTTTTTGTTAGCCGCCCTGAGCCCGGTCTTGGCTGGGGAGGGCAGGGTATAAATAAAATTTTTTATTATTATTATTATTATTATTATTATTATTATTATTATTATTACTATTATTATTATTATTACTAAGGGACGCGGGTGGCGCTGTGGGTAAAAGCCTCAGCGCCTAGGGCTTGCCGATCGAAAGGTCGGCGGTTCGAATCCCCGCGGCGGGGTGCGCTCCCGCTGCTCGGTCCCAGCGCCTGCCAACCTAGCAGTTCGAAAGCACCCCCGGGTGCAAGTAGATAAATAGGGACCGCTTACTGGCGGGAAGGTAAACGGCGTTTCCGTGTGCTGCGCTGGCTCGCCAGATGCAGCTTGTCACGCTGGCCACGTGACCCGGAAGTGTCTCCGGACAGCGCTGGCCCCTGGCCTCTTAAGTGAGATGGGCGCACAACCCTAGAGTCTGGCAAGACTGGCCCGTACGGGCAGGGGTACCTTTACCTTTTTATTATTATTACTATTATTACCTCAGGTTACAGACACTTTAGGTTACAAACTCTGCTAACCCAGAAATTGTACCTTGAGTTAAGAACTTTGCTTCAGGATGAGAACAGAAATCGCGCGGCAATGGTGTGGCAGCAGCGGGAGGCCCCATTAGCTAAAGTGGTGCTTCAGGTTAAGAACAGTTTCAGGTTAAGAACGGACCTCCAGAACGAATTAAGTTCTTAACCTGAGGTACCACTGTACTTTCAATGCATTATAATCCTTACAGCAAACTTGTAAGCTAAATCAGAAGTGTTATCCCCCATATTTCAAATTCTGAGGCCTAGAGGCTTAGAGGGAGTGGCTTGTCTAATGCTGCCTATTGATTTAATAGCAGATACAACATCTGAAACAGACACTTCTGATTCATACTTGGTTTTGTAGCCACTTTGCTACACCACCTTTCTACCCTTTCTTTAAGAGCTGCCCGGAAGACCGAACTGTTACCTTAGCTGTCACCAGAAGGTTCAGAACCAAATCCTTTTTATTTGTATACTGTTTCTTTGGCTCAAGCAAGTTACGAATTCAAAGGAATTACACTACTCTCAAAATTATTTACCTTCTGTGACTTGTCCCCAAAAAGAAACTGACACCTTGGGACAGAGCTCCCATGTTTAAAGAGCTTCACCACTTGTTATATATTTGAGAGGCTCTCCTTTTCATGTTTGAAATTTGCCCTGATAGGGCAGTGAATGGCGAAAGACATGCTTTTAAAGCTTTGATTATATGTTTTAGATATATAGTGTACTTCACACTGATAGGATGTAGCTAATACTTGTTCCTTTTCTTTAGCTCAGACACTATTGCAAGATGCTGGTATATTCTTCTTTCTGGATCTGTGCTTATGAAGGACTCCATGTTTTTGCCACCTTGCAGGTATGTAAGAAGTTAGCATCTTCTTTAGTACGGGGGGGAAAACCCATAAAACTGGATGCCTAGTTAAATACATACTTTATAACACTATATTTTCAAGTATGTAGTACCTAATTTTGATAAGCTATATGGTAAATCTTTCATTCTCCTGTTCAGATATTGTTTCTGAACTTGGATAATTGGCATAAACTCTACATTTTCCTCCAGTTTCTCTTCCTGCTTGGTCCATCCATCTTTAAATTTTCCCCAAGGATAACTGCCAAGAGTACTCATTGTTAACTCCTTTTCTGCCTTTAAAGTCAGACATGGGGAGTCTGAATGGGAGCTAGTGTTTGTTACCAGCAAGCTCTGTGCATGGCTCCCTGTTTCCTTTGTGTTAAAGGTAAGCATAAATCCCTTGCATAGTTTGACATGTTAGCTGCCATTCATGCCTTTTTCTCTTGAGCAGTGTGTATGGCACTTACTCTGCCTGAGTAGAAAATGTAAAGCAGGGCTCCTAGTTTATAGCCCACCCACCCCCCAGTCCTATAATGTCTTAGACAAGATGAATGAATACACATTCAAAATAATTGATTTAGGTTTCCTTGATAGCATTAATCTTTGGAAGTGATAATTGTGTTTGCTTATGAACATTGAAGTAAATGATTATTAAAGGTAAAGGTAAAGGTACCCCTGCCCGTACGGGCCAGTCGTGTCCGACTCTGCGGTTGTGCGCCCATCTCGCTTAAGAGGCCGGGGGCCAGCGCTGTCCGAAGACACTTCCGGGTCATGTGGCCAGTGTGACAAGCTGCATCTGGCGAGCCAGCGCAGCACACGGAAACGCCGTTTACCTTCCCGCTAGTAAGCGGTCCCTATTTATCTACTTGCACCCGGGGGTGCTTTCGAACTGCTAGGTTGGCAGGCGCTGGGACCGAGCAACGGGAGCACACCCCGCCGCGGGGATTCGAACCACCGACCTGACGATTGGCAAGTCCTAGGCACTGAGGTTTTACCCACAGCGCCACCCGCGTCCTAAATGATTATTAGCTTCTGCCTATTAGGGAATATGAATTTATCTTGTCTATATAGCATGAATTGCACCACATTTTTTATCCTTTATCACAAGGCAGATAGTAGTAGAGCTGTTCTGATGCAGTAGCACCCAGGCTGTGTTGAACTGTCCACAAGAGTTTTTCAGGTAGCTGCTTTTTGTAGCAATTAAATTATTGCATAACAATTCATTGAGTCAGCAAACCAGGTTGCATCATCTTAAAATTCTAAATAGAGTGAACAAAAACACAGTATGGCATGTGCCTCAAACTGGGTTATACCTCCCAGCCGCCTTTTTGTTCCCCAGCTGTTCTAGATGTGGCATTACAAAAAGAGGTGCCCCTTCAGGTAACAGTTTCCCAAGCTCTTTAAGGCTTTATATTAAATTAACACCTTGAAATTTGGCTCAGTGATGTACTGACAGATCTTTAAAAGCTAGTGGCACATGATTGTGTGCACAAAAGCCTATCGACACTCTGGTTGCTGCATTTTGTCCCTGGTGCACTTTTTGAACAGTCTTCAAGAGCAGACCCAGGCAGAGTGAATTGCAGTAGTCTAGCCATGAGATTATTAGAGCACGGATAACCATGACTTGGCTTGGTCCAGGAATGGTGGTAGATAGCAAACCATCTGTTGCTGAAAAAAGGCTCTCCACATCATCCATGCCACTTTGGCTTTAAGTGACAGTAGAATACCACATTCTGTATACTTTGACCCACTGTCTCTCAGAAACTAGCCCTGTAGATAGGAGTGAAACCACCAAAATCACGCCCTCAACCCACAGGGCCTGCCCATATCATAGCTGATGAAATGAAAAGCTGCCAAGGAAGCAAGGAGAAGCAAAAGGGTTGCACATAGGTAAATGAAAGCAATTACAGTACTAAAATAAGGCCTGAAGCCCAATTGAAACGGGTCAAGATAATCAGCTTCCACCAAGCACTCTTAATTGCATGGCCACCACTCTCTGAAGTTCTCTGTAATTATTATTCTCTGTAATAATTGTGAGGGTCCTCTTACTGGCCAGTCTTCTGGGTCCAGCATGTCCTTCAATGTAGCTGATACCACTTCCTCCCACAGTGAAGAATTAACTCTCCCTGGACTCACCCAGTCAGTCTTCTGCTAGATGCACAAACCAAGAAAGGCAAGGGGTTGAGATCACAGGTGAACGCTTTCAGGCATTTTGTCTACATTTTGGTGCCTCTGCTCACCCAAAAGAGGCTAGATAAGAACATAAGAACAGTCTGCTGGATCAGGCCAGTGGCTCATCCAGTTCAGCATCCTGTTCTCACAGTGCCCAACCCTCCAGACTGAGCAGGATTCAATGCAGCATTCAGAGCTGCGGTTGGAAAGGAAAATGAGAAAAACTCACTGTACCGTAAGTTATTTCCAGATCTTTGGATCCTGGCATTTGCTTCTGTAGCAAATAATAGATATTGCTGCTCCTAGACCTAGAGTGAAACTTGCCTTACATTTAATGGGTGACTGTACTGAGGAAGGTTATTCTTTGAAGAAACCCAGTAAAGATACCTTACAGATGGTTCTTGGAATTGCGGTGTGAAAAGGAAGTGGGTCGGTTCATTTTCAACCAGACTGTACTTGAACATAATAGTTTTAAGGAGCTATCGTGGCAAGGGCAGCACTGTATACTCGAACAAAGGTTGTTCATTGATACCTAAAATTCTTAGTATCCTGGATTTGTTGAATTTGTTCTGTGGTGTTTGTATTGTTCTTTCTTTTGACACATCTATCTGAACATAAAATAAGTGTGTTCATACAAACCTAGCTTGTGGTGGAATAGTGTTTACTTTTAACACTTCAGTATACTGTGTGGCAAGCACTGAAGAATTTATTCATAGTATGTTCATGTAAGCCCATTTTCTACTTTATTATGCTAAATAGCCAACACTACTAACACTGCTGCTGTTGCCATTTGTTGCCAGCATGACAGCTTCACCCATAATTGTGGGAGCATTTCAGATATATCCTATGTATTCTTTTCTGCACTAGTTCTTTTCCTGTAAAGGAGTTGCATAAGTATCTTCCCACTTTATCTGGAAGCTTTTAGTGAAGCATAATTTCCCCCCACGTGTGTAGGTGTTCACTTTCAGGCAAATGTACCTTAGAGCCTGGATTTTTGCTAAAGTGGAGGATACCCATTTTCTTGTGTTCTTTTCTTTAATAGCACTTTCCCCCATTTCATTTTGAATATTGTTTACAGACTTTCTAGTTCTGTAAATAATGTGATGCTTTTATCTCACTGATTGTCACTAAATGTGGAGAAATAAAAGTTTTTATATTTCACTCCAGGGACACCACATGTGAAGTATGCCACTAACCTATGGATTATGTGGTTCTGATATCCCTTTATAATTCCACTATCACTATAAAACTTAAATAAAACTTTTCTCTTGGTGTTCTAGTAGAGTAGCAGGGCAGGATATTGGGCTTCAGGCATTGGATAAACAGGCAGATCCATATTTAAAAGATAAAAAACAAATTTATTAATATTAGATTTGATATATGGCTATGTTCCAACAGTTAGTTTACATTAAATGTGTACTGTAACTTTAAGGATGTTAGGTCCATAACTAAGGCTGCAGTCCAAAACCTTGGCCAGCAATGATGGCATTTGCAGCAAACAGGGTGTGGGGTGCAGAGGGGAAAAAATGGTCTTTGCTGTAGGCAGGGACAGAGTTCTCTGCAATATTCACTGGACAGCTTAGAAGATTTCAGACAGGTTTAGTCCAGTGCCATAGCATGGGGGGCTTGGGGAGCCATGGCCCATGGCACGTATTTTTGAGGGGGTGTGATCAGGTGCCCCTACAATGGGCTCACTCATCGGAGCCTGGTCCTGGCGTACAAGGGAGCTGCAGGGACAATTTTCTCATGCAACAGTCCAACGCCACCAGCTGCAGCTCCACTCCCAGGTCAAGCCTGACCCAGGGGCAGAGAGAAGCTGCGGAGCACGAGGCACCTGGCTGTGGCAGCCCCATCCTTCTTGAGGGTGTGCCCCATGCACCCGCCTTGGGCACCGCTAGCTTACTCCCTGCCACCGGTTCAGACTCGATGAAGGCTTGGCAATTCCCTAAGGAGGATTTGGAGCACCTTTCCTCCCCAATGCTGTCCCTAGCTATTTTAGTTAAGGTCACTCGTAAGTGGTGCAACACCCTCCTCCAGTGGATCAGAGCCTACCCCCGAGTTGGGAGCTCTGTTATTTGATCCTCGGATCTGCACTTTTTTAACCAGGATAAAATAGTGCTTAGAACTGATGCATCATTCTTGCTCAAGGTAAACTTGGTTTTTTGCAAAAGGAGGTATGTGTGCACAAATGGAGGGCACTCCATATTTTTATTTGGATAGGGTTGTGTCTGTAAGGAATTTGGATGCTTGCTTTATATGATTTTGGGAGAAGATCTTTAGTGAGAAGGTGACAGCATCTACACTGTCTTAGTGGCTGAGGCGGTATGTAGTTCTTGTGTATCAGTCTCTTGAAAATCTCCTTGGGCCCATTTGGGGGTAGCATTGGTTTTTATATACAAAGGTCTTGGAATGTTCTCTGGGAGCCACAGGAAAAAGGGATGTTCCAATCGGCAGGCGTGAAAAAGCCATTGCACACAGTTGCTTTTCAACTTCAATTTCTCTCTGTCTTATAATGAGTTTCCTTATTGGTCCAAAAATTCTGAGGTAGTAATTCTTTCCATGTGTGTTTGTTCTTCAAATAGAACAGAGATGCTTGGTTTTTTTTCTTGTGAATCTCTCTTTCAGTAGTAAATTAAATATTTAGTATTTCATATTTACTATAAATAGTCACTTCTTCTTCTTCTTCTTCTTCTTCTTCTTCTTCTTCTTCTTCTTCTTCTTCTTTTTTTTTTTTTTACACACCCAGCCGCCTCACAAATGGTAATTGTTGAAATGAGGGAGCAAGGAATTATTAGTTGGAAATGTCTGGTTTGCTTGAAGAGTGCGTTTTCATT